GACGCACACGCACACACACAGCACGCACGCACACACACACACACAAGCACGCACACACACACACAGGCACGCACACACACACACAGCACGCACACACACACACAGCACGCACACACACACACGCACAGCACACACACACACACACCACTCACACACACACACACAGCACGCACACACACACGCCACACACTCACACACACACACACAGCACGCACACACAGCACGCACACACACACACACAGCACACACACACAACACGCACGCACACACACACACACAGCGCGCACACACACACACAGCACACACACACACACACACAGCACGCACGGATCTGAGCGGCACGCACACACACGCACAGCACGCACACACACACACACAGCATCACGGCAGCTCCGCGTCGAGTTAAAGGCCGCAGCATCTCCTATGGCTTCTGGTTGCATGGCATTGTTCTCCGCCGAGTCGGAGAAAAGGTACGCTGTGTTTAGGTTTATTTAGTAATTCTATTCCGTATGAGGTTGAAAGCAACAGCCAGGAAATCTCTTTTTTTTGAAAAATCGCTTAAAAGGGAAAGGTTGTAAAAGGGAGGGTTGCAATACCTTGTGTTAAGTGATTTTCCGTTTATTCAGAAAGGCTTTCGAGAAGTATATAGATGGGAGGAGTGAATAATCAAAGGAACAGAATAATCATGATGAACCGAAAGACGCGGACCAGGTCGCTGACCCCGTCATCACTTGGCGCACACTGCATTTTTCTTTTCTCTTTTTTCTTTCTCATTTGATTCCAACTTTCTTGCTTTTTCTTCGTCTGCAATTTTCTCCTTTTATATCCTTTTTTAAATTCTTTTTACCATTTCTTCTTCCTTTCTCTCCTCAGTCTTCTTCTTTCCCTTCCCTCTTCCTGTTCTCGTCACTCTTTCCACTTTTTTTCTTTCATATTCATTACATTATATTTCCAATAATAAAACAATGGAACCAAATTTTTGTTTTATTACCTTTCAAAATTCTAAGAAAACCCGTGTGTCACTGTAATATATATATCCATTGGAACACGCAATGTATAATTAAGATAAAAAAACAAGCAATTGCGAGCTAAACTTTTAAGCATTTCAGTTGTAAAGTTTTGAATAAACACAGATCAATTCTACTAAACAATGATATCAAAACACACAAAAAAATACTTCCTTCCTTTTTTACCCCATAACTTCAAGTTGAAAAGAATCCATCGATTTTTTTAAATATACATTTCCTGGCCTTAATCTCCATAATTAATTAATTCTCGCCCTCTCTATTTCTCTACCTCTCCCTCTTTCTATCCATCCCTCTCTCCGTCGCTTTCTCCCTTTATCCCCCTTCCTACATTCCTTCATACATTTTATCTTTTTGCTTTGAACTTACAACGCATAACGGAAATAAAACGTGAAAAGCAACGACACACAACGACCTAAGAATTTCCGTTATAGAAAGTGCCAACTGAGACGATGACCTGCTTTCGGCCAGCGATAAAAAATGGTCTTTTATTTCTACAAAGGCAATGTCAGAAATAAGGACTTGCTTATTCATGATCATAATGCAAGAAAAATAGGTATTTGTGGTTTTCGATAATGATTATGTATCAAGAGCAAAAGCAAAGAAACAAACATATGTGGTCTATATTTTTTAACGATAAGAAAAATATATATTAGTACATGCATACATATGCACGCACACACACACAGAAACACACACACACACACACACATGATACACACACAAGCACATACACACACAAAGAACGATATACACACACACACACACACCACACACGCACACCACACACACACGCGTACACACACACACACAAAGAAACAGACACACACACACATACTCACTCTCTCTCTCTCTCTCTCTCTCTCTCACACACACACACACACACACGTGCGCGCGCGCAGAAACACAGACACACACACACACCCACATAAACTACGTTTCCATCGCGATCACAGCACCCCCTCCACCAAGACCAAACACCCTAAAATCACCCCCCCGCCCCCGTCACTCCAACCTCCACCCTCTGAAGAGAACCCCCCCCCTCCCCCCCTCCGCTCCGACGCCTTACCTGGGGGGATGGAGATGACCACCTGCTTCTCCCCGGTGCAGGACTCGTCCGCGTTCGACTCTCCCGTGATCTTGACCTTCATCTTGCTCTATGAACTGGACGACGAAGAAAGAGGAAGAGAGAGAGAGGGAGAGAGAGGGAGAAAAAAAGGAGAAATATATATGCTCTTCCAGCGGCTGGCGTCGAGGGAGAGGCTGGTGCCACGCGGAGAGCCGGAGGGCGACTGGTGCCTCTGCTTCTGCTTGATGGCGACGCGTGAGGTCTGTTTTTATCGCAGGAAAGGCGTCCTGTTGCCTCGCTTGGGAAACCCGCGGTGGAAACTTCGGTGGAATTGGTGGAGATTCTTTCTCTGTTTTGCCTCTTTTTTATCTTCTCTTCTTCTTCTCTGTCTTCTCATTTTTCCTTCTTCTTCCTTTCGCCCTCCTTCGTCTTTTTCTTCTTCTTCGATTTTTTCCTTCTTTTCATTTTTCTCCTTTTCTCTTGTTTCGCCTTTCTCGTCTTCTCTTCCTCTCCTCCTTATCATATGCATATATTTTATCTCTATTCATTATTTTCCAGTAATTTGTTGTATATGTTTCTTATACTTTGCTTACTTCTTTTTCTCTTTTTTTTTTTGCTTACTTTTCTCTTCCATTCATCATTTCCTTTCGCTGTTTCTTCTTATGTTTCATCATTTCTTTAATTTCATCATAATTTCAGTTTGTCGTTTCTCGTCTCTGAGTCCTTAACTTTTATTCATTTCCTATACTTGTTCATTTTCATCGTCATCTTCTCTCTTATCCTGTTCTTTTATGTTATTACTGTTCATTTATTTTTTCTTTCAGTGTCTGAATTTTCCCTCCGTTTATGGACTTAATTACGTTGCTTAATCAATTCTCCTTTGCTTTCCTTCTCCCTTCCTTTATCACATTTACTGTTTCCTTACTTTCTTTCTTAAATCACATTTGCTATTTCTTCTCCTTACTTTCTTTTTTTATTCTTTATTTCTCTTTATGATTTTTCTATCATTATTCTTTTCTTATCGTTCTTGACTCTGATTTTCCCTTCCTGTCTCATTCCCCTTTTTATCATCTTTCGTTGCCAGTTTCTCCTTTATTAATAAGTCTCTCTATTTCGTATTTCTTCTTCTTTGTTATCCTTCATCTTTTCTCCTCTCCTTCTTTTTCCCTTTTCATTTTCCTCTTCACAATTCTCCGATCACTGACTGCCATTATCATCACATTTTTAACATATAACTATAGTGTTATTTATGCTTCGTATGCGATTAACCGGACCATAAACGGATGATGAAAAAATGTGGAAAATTATATTGCTCAAGAAATAAAAGTTGTGGTTCGGGTTAACATTTTTCATTCCCAGTGAATTAATAAATTAGGTTTATCTATGATGAGAGAAAAATCAGATGACAACAAACAAAATAATGATACTAATTATAGCAATAATAAGAAGAATAATGATAATGGATGGTCATATATGTTAAAAATCAAATCAAACCAAAATGAGATCAACGTAAAACAAGGAGGATGAAAAAAATGTTTAATATCAGAAGATGAATAGGAAAAGAAGAGGAGAAAGTTAAGATAACAGGTCGAGGGGGACGATGAAAGAGCAGAAGAAGAAACGAAGAGAAATGAAAACGAAGACGGAGAAGAATGAAAGGAAGGACACGTGAATAAGAGAGAAATATGTGATGGGAAATACGAAGACTGAGGCGAGGAAGGTGAAGAAAGAAAAGAAGAAGGAAAGGAGAAAAAAAAATTAAAGTGAATAAAAATAAGAACAAAGTGGACTCACCTTCGTTACGATCCGCTTGCTCCTTCTCCAAAGCAAGTTCTTCTCCTGCAGCGCCTCCTTCGGGAACGGGCACCCTTTCCGGAGGCCAATCGGCGGTCGCGGAGGAGTCGAGCGGCCGGCATTCCTTCTCCCTGGAAGAGGAGGCCCTGAGATCCTTCGAGGCCGACGACCCTTCAGGAGGAGCCGCTGCTACTGAGGATCTCGCTGAATGGTCGCCTCCACTCGCTCCTTCGACTGAAAAATAGATAGATGAGTAAATAGATGAGATAGACTTGAGATTTAGAAAAGAAAAAAAAAATCAGAATTCCGAAGGTGAGGAAGGTGGAGAAGGCGGTCTATAAAATAATAGAAATCAGTAAATATAAGAAATGCAGAACATGAGTGAAATTTGCGAATATACGAATAGGTTAATCAAGGCTTGTTTGTTAGACACATACATGCACACCGCAAAATAGAGAGAAAAAAAATCTCTATATGCGCAAGGGTATACATACTCAAATGCGTACGCGCGCACACACACACACACACACTGATATGTACAAGTTTCCGGAATGTTAGTAGCTCAGTTTACTAGAGCAATTTTCCGATGTTCTTTCCCTGTGGCTCAGTGGACACCCCATACCCCTCCTTGTGCAGTGTGACGTCCCTGCATAAGCACTTTCAGACACGCGTTCTCTCTCCCAAGACTAAACAAAATAAAAACAAACTTTTTCCCATGTAAAGAATCATGAAATCAAATGCTTGTGTTTAGTACAGTAATATAACAAACTGGATAAGTGTTAACAATAAAAATGATACTCGTGATACTAATCCTCATAACAATAACTATAATTCATGCTAAATGCTGATAAGTCAAAAGTCAGCTGATCAAAATGTTAGTCCATAATGTAGGCCTACCTATCGCCATATCTTCCTTTGTTCCCCTCGTTTCAATCCAGCGTTTGCTCTCCTTTTCCCACGACCCCTCTTGGGAGCCCTCGACGACCAGCTCAAAGACCTTGACCTCGCCGCCAAAGCTTTCGATCCAGAGGAGCGAGCTGCTCGCTTTCCTGCCCGGCGCCGCGACCCAGGCCGAGGGGGCGTCGCCGCCTGCCTCCGCCACGTGCCCGGCC